GCTGTTGCATGATGCACACTGACATTAGGGTTGGTCAAAAAAAATGATACTTTTAAGGGAAGATTTAGGCGTAGAAAAAAATGTTTATCAAGACTAATCGAGCCTTATCCCTTTTTTTGTTTTAACAAATTTAAATCAAATGAAATGATTGCAAGTCCATCCGTTTTTTAAGTATCTATTAATAAAGATTTAATAAAAAAAAAAAGATTTGTTATAGTATAAATTTTCACAAGATTATAATCCAGCGATACATAAACTATTTTGATGTTTTGATATACAAACTTGAAAGTTTATGGCTTTCATGAAGATATAGATTCCAGGTCATGTGCAAAAATATATTTATAAGGAAAATCGGCTTAGGTTTGGCCAAGTTATCACAAAGTAAAGATATTGAAGTCACATTTATTGGGGATTTAGAAAAGTTCAAAATTTTGGTAAATTTTAGCATGGTTCTTACAACAAAATTATTTAATTAGAATGTCCTCTATTTTAATAATTGTGATTTAAACTTTAAATGGTTGATTCTAAAATTTTAAAATATATAATCTCAAGGAATTTGAAAGTTTTTAAAGAATACAAAATTAATATTTTAGATGCCAACAAATTTTAAAACTGCAAAACAAATATATGGATATTGTTGTTTTCGCAAATACTTCAAATTGTTTTTTGGTTAAATTATATTGAAATTGTTTTGATACTTACAGAATGAAAATAGGTTTAGTTTTTACACGGTTCGGTATTTTTATGTTTAATAAAATAATTCTTAACTGAGTAACTGAGTCACCCTAATAATTTTCCAACTCTATATTTAGCTGATCCCGCACACAGATGCATATGGCAAGTATATACATACGTATATGTACATACACGCATACACGCATGCATACACACACATATATAAATATGTAGTGATGTACATAGATATAACATCAATATTTATGCAATTCTCGATGTTCTCTTTGTCTCTACGTTTTCGCATTTATTTCTGAATTGGTTCTGCTGTTCTGTACAATGTTATTGTTTATTCCGCTTTGACTGCATTCTGTTGTCTGTTGTTCCTTTTTATTTTTTTGTCTTGTTTTCCGCTGTCCGCTGTCCAATGTCCGATGTCCACTGCCCGCTGTCCGATTGTCTGCTGCTCCTTAGACCTTGACCACTAACATAGAAACGTCTGCTAACCGGTTTCCAACACTGCCACTTTTTATTTTGTCTGCCCTCCTGTTTGTGTTTGCGAGGCGTATAGTTGACCGACTCAATCTCGAAATGTACTTAATTTGTTCATTTAATAACACCCACAAAACGGGTTTCTCGTACTCGTAATGTTAATGCCATATTAACAGGTCTACGGCTGTCAACCCGACCAATAAATGGGCCTTAATCACGCCGACGCATGAACTTGTTGCTGCCCCAATGTCACACTTAATTATTTTATTTTTTCTGTAATGATCTATTATTTGAAATGCGTATGTATAAAAAACTCGTCATAATTTCTTGGTCACACGCACTGTGGAGTCGTGCCTAGTAGCTGCGTTGGGCTGTGCATTTTAATTGTTATCAAATTATTTATAAATAGTCCATAAATATCAGAGTCTGACTTGTGTGAGGGCGTGCACACAAAAGGGTTTGCTTGGGCTGCCGAAATTAATTAACAAAATGTTTGTTAAAATTGTACATAATTATAGTTTTGTGACGTGCACGACTTTTGGAACATCGTGCATTTGGTGGACGTAAATACCCATTCTTCCTGTTGCCAAAACAAATGAAATTTGCCGCTCAATAAAGCGATTTAATAACAGCGACAGCAACCGACAAATGGCAGTCGCACACTTATTCACAAAAGTATGTGTATACATGCAGCGTATATGTATGCATGTCTTCCGCTTGTCGTCTTTAGTCTCTGTAGACGACTCACCCCTTTAAATGACCCAATTTCCGAAGCACGAGCATCCGAAAGCACCGACAGCTGAGTAACTGTCAAAAGCAAAGCCCTGCAAGCTGCTTCGTAGTAATAAAATTATTAAAAAATAAAAAGACATGTGTATAGCGAAGATCGGGCAAAGATCATGGCGCTGCTTTTAATACTCTTGCATAGGGCATAACTAATTTATCGTCTGCCTTGAAGTTTGATCAAATTCGATTAATATCTTATATATCTTAGGAAATGAGTTTAAATCTGACAATATTCAGTATTAATTGAAACTTAGGGTTCGAGCTTCTGAAAAGATTGTTTTGAGCTCAAGTGAATATTTTATAACTTTGGCATTAAAACTTCGACTTTTTTGCTTGGTAGTGTAGTTAGGTGTCGGCTTGGTCTTACCTTTACGTTGCTTATATGGTGCAGACGCTGGCGCTGGCGATGCTGGTGGTGCTGGTGCTTTTCGGGTAATTTGATCCCCTAATGTTGCAGGGAATCACGTGTTTCAATTTTGATTCACGTATCATTTGACCCCTTTCCATACTACAAGTAGATCAAACAACAACAACAACACGAACTGGGAACAACATCTGGAACTCGAGCGTATATTTATTGACCTTGTTTACAGTTCTTAGATTTCAAAACAACAGGCACAATATGCTTTTCACTAATTGATGTTAAAGTTGCTGATAAACTTGCTTAATTCAAATTAAAAACTGATTGAATATGTATATATCCGTATATATAGATTTATTTTAAAGTGCATTTATAGATTGGTGAGGGCATTCTGTAATGATTCGAATTAGTAAAATTTCGATTTGAATTCAAGTCAAACCTACGGCCAGATCTCCCAAAGCAGCATTCAATTTCTTCACATATGGAACAGCTGCCTGGGCAGCAGATGCAATAGTCTTAGCGCTCACACCCTAGAAATTAGCAATAAATTGGAAAAGTATAATATAAGCAAGTAAAAGGTACTTTAGTCGAGAGTGCCCGACTAGGCAATACAATGAATCTTCTTGGTGGCGATAGCTATAAAATGAAAGATACTTGATCTGTATATCCTATTTTGGGTAGCTATATGTGAACAGACGGACGAACGGACAAACAGACGAACATGGCATGATCAACTCGGCTATTAATTCTAACCAAGAATATATATATATATATATATATATAAAGAATATATCATTAAACCCAGTTTATCCATATTTAATGGGTTTAGGATATAAAAATATAGTTTTAGTTGAAAACGAGGCAAATACTTACGCCCATCTCACCAATAACTGTAGCACCAGAGGACTTTGGAATAGTTAAAAATGTATTTCAAGTGTTATTTTAAGAATAAGGTTAAGTTTAATTTAAGTTACTTACTGAAACACTGCGAGACTTGGGCGCTGCCTGAATTTCCACGCTGAGGGTGGTAATGGTGTTCTATTGATTGAGAAAGGTTTAGTGGACTTCTAGTAAATCTTAAGTATATGCGACTTACTGCCAAATGGCCAAGAGCATTGCCCATATCACCCATAAGATTGCCAATAAGATTTTTCGACTGCGGCTGAACATAAGCTCTCTGAACTCTCAAACTGGCCAGGGCATTCTAAGAAATATTGTTAAAAGTATAAAGAAATAAAAGTTACATTCGGGCAAACATTAAATATTTTTGCAATTAGTTGTAATATAACCGATTCATTCTCTATAGGAATAATCCATATGATTAGTATTCTTATCCGGTGACAAAAAAAGACTACTCATACGTGACCCAAATAGTAATTCTCTTAATTATTGGGTTTGATAAAGCAGTCTAAAAAAATAAAAAAAAAATTAGATGTATATCAAGATTCTTCTTTTGAGTGATGCTGCGTATAACAGCTTTATATGGTGGCTCGATCTGTTCGACTCCGAAATCAAGATAGCATTAAAACTGAAAGACTGGCTTGCATATAAAAAAAAGGGAAAAGGACTCTACTCTTGATCAGGTAAGGGAAATATATATAGTTTATGGTATGGATGTTCTTCTATGTAACCCTCTGCATGGGGCGGCTATACTTACGGCTAGATCAGCCAAGTCATTAGCCATATCACTTGGCAGGTTTTGAGTAGCGGCCTCCACATACTCTGCATCTGGCTGGGCAGCGTCCAACTGATTCTCCAGACGATGGATTGCCTTCTCGCCGGCAACTGCCACCTGGGAGACGTCGCTCATGAGGCCACCAAAAGTAATAGTGCCAGCCTGGACTTGTTGGGCAACCAAAAGGCTGGCCAAGAGTGCAACAATTATGGCTTGCATTCTGATTGTTGGTTTTTACTTGTTCACAGCGCGAACAACTTTATTTATATACCAACAGGCAATGGATCTTATCTATATAAAGCTAAAATCAAAGACGCAGTAAAAATTACTGCAATTCGCCATGGTTACGCTCAAGTGGCCAATAACTCATGTCGGAATCGGCGGTACGCACTGATTGATGTCCAAAATTGTTATCAGACGGCGCTTAATTTCAAGTCTATGGTTTTTGTTTTTAATATTGAATAGTAATTTAATATTTTTATATAACTAGAATTGCGCAGGCAGGTGCATTCGACTGCGCAATACTTTGTTAATGGTGTAAAAACAGCTCAGGACACCTGGAGAAGAGTCTTTATTGTGGCAAAAGGGCTCTAAAATTATAACCCCGTCGGGTCAGCTTGGGAGTGATTCTATCTTTCGGAAAGGCCTTCAGTTAATGAGTTCGTATATATTTTGTGACTGTTAATCAAAAACTGTGGAAGATATAGACTTTGGACTGGAGGATATAAAAAATATACCCCTTAATATTTAACTTGCAACATTTATAAACGAGTCTGCATATTGATCAGTATATTTATTTACAGTCCCAAGTATTAATAGAAGGACAGAATGGCAAACATAGCACAACATTAATATACTCATTTTTAACGTGTGAACAGAGTATAAGTACCTTTCGGGCTTTCTTTGTTTTGCAGTAATTTCGCGTGCCCGAAATTCTAATCGACTCACAATATGAACATTGTCCCCTATACAAATCGGTTGCATATTGTGCCCAGTTAAATAATAAAAACTTTATCAATCATCTGCTCGCAATAATAGTTTTATTTTCAATTATGAGGATACGCGTTTATATGTGTGTAGTACAGTGTTGACAATTGATATAGAAGTCCACTAAAATAAGTGGGCAATTCCATTGACCACGCTGTTGGCAACATTTAGAGCGCCATCAGCCACGCCTTCAGCCACATGAGTGGCATCGCCTACAATGCTAACAGCAGCACCCGCGGCATCTGAAGCGATATTGGTAACAGCATTGGCAGCATCGGAAGCAACATTATTTCCTGCATTGGAAGCTGTATCGGCTCCATTATTAGCGGTATTGGAAGCATCGGATGCTACGTTATGAGCAGCATTGGAAGCAGAGCTTGCAACGTTGTTGGCTGCGTTGGAAGCAGAATTTGTCACGCTGTTGGCTGCATTAGAAGCAGAACTGGCAACGTTATGAGCAGCATTGGAAGCAGAATTGGCAACGTTTTGAGCCGCACTGGAAGCATCGGATGCTACGTTATGAGCTGCACTGGAAGCATCAGATGCTACGTTATGTGCAGCATTAGTAGCAGAGCTTGCAACGCTGTTAGCTGCATTGGAAGCAGAATTGGCAACGTTTTGAGCCGCGCCGGAAACATCGGAGCCCACAGTGTTAGCAGCATTGGATGCGGAATTTGCCACACTGTTGGCAGCATTGGAAGCGGCACTTGCCACGTTGTTAGCAGCATTGGAAGCAGAACTTGCAACGCTGTTAGCTGCATTGGATGCAGAGTTTGCAACGTTGTTAGCTGCATTGGAAGCAGAGTTTGCCACACTGTTAGCAGCATTGGATGCAGAATTAGCAACGCTTTGAGCCGCACTGGAAGCATCGGATGCTACGTTATGTGCTGCACTGGAGGCATCAGATGCCACGTTATGAGCAGCATTGGCAGCAGAGCTTGCCACACTGTTAGCAGCATTGGAAGCGGAATTAGCAACGCTTTGAGCCGCACTGGAAGCATCGGATGCTACGTTATGAGCTGCACTGGAAGCATCAGATGCTACGTTATGAGCAGCATTAGTAGCAGAGCTTGCAACGCTGTTAGCTGCATTGGAAGCAGAATTTGCCACGCTGTTGGCAGCATTGGAAGCGGCACTTGCCACGTTGTTCGCAGCATTGGAAGCAGAGCTTGCAACGCTGTTAGCTGCATTGGAAGCAGAGTTTGCCACACTGTTAGCAGCATTGGATGCAGAATTGGCAACGTTTTGAGCCGCACCGGTAGCATCGGATGCTACGTTATGTGCTGCACTGGAGGCATCAGATGCCACGTTATGAGCAGCATTGGCAGCAGAGTTTGCCACACTGTTAGCTGCACTGGAAGCAGAATTCGCCACACTGTTAGCGGCATTGGAAGCAGAATTGGCAACGTTCTGAGCCGCACTGGAAGCATCGGATGCTACATCATGCGCAGCATTAGAAGCTGAACTTGCTATATTAGAGGCCGAATTCGCCACGCTGTGAGCCACATTGGAAGCATCTGAGGCTACATTATGCGCTAGACTGGAGGCATCAGAGGCTACATTATGTGCCACATTGGATGCATCGGAGCCAATTGTGCCACCTACATTACCAACTGAGTGGCCGAGATTGTTGGCCGACTGGCCAACATCATTGCCAAACTGCGAGGCTGCCTGGCCCAATGCGTTACCAAAATTAGAGGCGTCTTGTCCAACCGCGGAGCTGTTCAGATTGCTTGCAGCTTGGCCCACGTCATTGCCGAATTGGGAGGCCGCCTGGCCCACGGCATTGCCAAAGTTTGAGGCTTCCTGTCCAATCTGATTGCCAAAATTGCCCTAGAAATGAGATCACATGGCACATTACACTCCGTTCAGTTAGTATAAATGACACACGTCACATACAAAGGCTTGGCCAAGTTCGCCCAGCACAGACCTGGCGCTCACATCCTGCAGACCCAAGAGAGCCAGCGCCAGCGTAAGGGCTACGATAAAATTCATTCCAAGACTTTCAGTATGATTTTTATATTTTTTTGTACACAATTTATAATTGCAATTAATGATATTTGCGACTTGCCAGTCATATTTATAGGCAAGTGAAACTCGATAAATTGCGATATGCTTATCGCTAGACTCTGTCTGCCAACTTATCTAGGAAATTTTTTGTATACCACCATATTTAAATGTTGCCTGCTGTTTATCTAGAGCAAGACGTATGGTCGGCCCATTGAATTAAAATTTTCTAATCATAATTTGCTTACATATTCCCATTAATTACCAAAAATGTCATATAATTAAATATATATATTTATATATATATATATATATGATGACATATATATGTATATAAATTTATGGTTATTTGAAAGATGTACACATTATAAAAAATTCCCCATTAGCCGTGTATTAACCAAATAATGCCAAAAGTCGGGGCAAATTTTTATCGAGCTTATCTTAAAATAGACTTGGTCTATACAGGTATTTTGTGTGTCATCAAATTTGAATTCAGAGACTCTTTGATGACGATTGTTATTGCAAAGGTTAAAATCTCATAAACGAAATAGAATAGAATAGGGTGACTAAAAAATACCCTATACGCAGTAGCGAGCATATCAACTATGGTGTCTCCAATTCTTAAGATCACGATATCGAAAATTGTCTAGCAGGGCATCGAAATTTATCGATTTAAAAAAAAAGTCTATACAAAAACAACATAAAAAGTCTGGTATCTCCAGCTATAAAAATCTTCAATATATGCTTAAGTAACTGGAGCTGGCAATTGATATTTTTCGATTTTTGAAAAAGCAAAAAAGTGTTTGAGCTTTATCTGAGAAAGTACTTTCTTAACTTACAGTCATTAAGTTATATTGTCTCTCCAAACAAATACACGAAAGAGTATTGCTTAATCCATTCGTCTTTTGATGCTGATGCTACAACTAACAATATCAGCACTATGAACTGTATGCAGCAGATTTTGGGTTAACTTTTGTTTAACACTTTAAAGTCAAATGGCACCTATAGTTTATTAAACTCCAAATCGAGTGGCAAGTGACAGTTTCTGCTTACATATGTTTGCCAAATTCTTAAATTGTCTGCGGTATGATGAATGAACTATCCATTTCTGAATTAAATTAACGCTCGAAAATATGTGTTTTGTATTGATAATATGTATACCGACCACCATGTCTGAAGTGGTTTTATACTATGCTAGGTTTCATAATATCGGACAATATGTAGGTTAGATGGTATTATACTAAAATGTTTACTATAATCTTATAGCGTTCAAGTGCAGTCAAGGGGGCTTAAATTAGCCTATCCTCAAGCTTTTCTCTCAGTTTATGTTTCTAGATATATTTCTAGATCTTATGTGTTTTGATTTTATTTTACTGGGTGTATCTAGGTACTTCGAGCTAAAACATATATTTATAAAGTAAATATACATATTCGATATTCGTAAGCATTATTTTAAGTAATATTGACCTGAATCATAGGCAAACAAACACAAACTGACTTTTATATGCGCGCTGGGCAAAGTCCGCTTCAAGTACATGGTACATATTACTTATTTGGCAAACTTATTAAGATTATTTTTTTTGATTTATCTACATATATATTTTTTATTTTATTTTCATTATGTTTATGCAATATCCGGCAGTAGCATGAAGTGTTTTGTATTTAACTTAAGTTTAGTTTACATACGGATTCGATCATTTATAATGCCAGCCATATCTCGATTTATATCAATATCAATTTCCATATAAATACGAGTGAGCATTTTCGGTTTTCCATCAGTCGATAAAGTCGCATAAAGTAAAAGTATCATGAAGTTCCTAGTGCTCCTCTTCCTGGTGGTGGCCATGGTCAGCCAACAAGTGTCCGCCGCCGGCTCCGTTGTCTCAGCTATTGACAATGATGCCAATAGCATTGCCCAGGCCGCTGCCAGTGCGGGTGAGAGTATTCTCTCGGACGGTGCCACCTTTGGCAAGGACGTGGCCAGTGTGGGTGAGGGCATTTTCTCGGATGGGGCCACCTTTGGCAAGAACGTGGCCAAATCTGCGTCCAGTTTGGGCAAGGGCATTCTCTCGGACGGTGCCACCTTTGGCAAGGACGTGGCCGGCGCTGCTGTCAAGGCTGCCGACTCTTCTGCCGCACAGAGTATTCTCTCGGACGGTGCCACCTTTGGAAAAAATGTGGCCAGTGCAGCTGTTCAAGCCGCCGATAATATTGCCAACTTGTTCTAAAGTACCCAGATTCACGGATGAGCTAGTGCTGTCTAGAGTCCGCGAAAGACTTATAAAGTTTTAAATAAAACAAAATGATTTTGCATACCTAATACATAAACAGTTAATTAATTTTATTTTCAAATATTTTCAATTGTATTTTATATTATTTTTAAACTTTATTTTTATTATTTGATACTTAATTAGTTTGTGCTTGTGTCATAATACATTTTTTTAACATTAAGTGTTTAAACATTTTCACCCTTAAGTGGAAAGAATTTGTATGGATTGCCATTTCTTTTGACTAAATGTTGTGGCTGCAAGTGCTCGTTTGGATTGTGATGGTTTTGAATGTCGAAGTTTATGAAATATTGGGGATTCTTTCGTTTCTTGACATGGCTAACATAGTGTTTGGCGTTGGGTTGAGGCTTTGAGTAGGCTAGGCGCATGATAACATTGTCGGCTGGTTGAATCTTAAATGCATTCCTTGGGCGGTTGTTGGTCACAAAATTCTCAAAGTTGGTCTGTATAGAAATTGAAATAAAATAATATTTCCAAAGTATATTTGCTTAAATTAATACTATTTTTGCCTTACAAATTTGTTTCGCATATTTTCCGCCATTGACTTCGGGGCATGTGCCTCTAGACTTAACATAAGCCCCATCAATAGAAACAAATAAATAGCTAGAAGCATTGTTTGGCTATTGAGAAGTTGCTTTTTACTAAATTTCCTAAATATTTTATTTTTTCGTCTAACCAAAAAATCCATTTGTTTCGGTTAATATTAATTGGCTTCACTTTAATTAGGGTAAATAAAGTATTATATAGATTTGTTTTACTATTTTATTAGTTTAGTGTGGATTTAATTTTAAGAGTTTCCACTGTAAATGTTTGTTACTTACTTTACTTAGGCTTGTGTTGTTTCTTTTTCATCGTTTGACTGATTTTTTTGGAGCTTTTTAATTGTTGAATTGAAAATTGTACTTCTTGTTTTCATTTTTCCGTGTGAAATCAAAGTACATGGAATAGGTCTGTCCATTAGCCACATGTATCTCCCGCCTGTTGTCGTTGGACGCTTTGCTTACAGCTGCACCAAAATTTGACTGAAATACAAAAATTGTATTTTTTAAAAATGACAAAGAGCTGGGTGCAGCGTACAAATTCTTTTAATATCTGCTTGCTTTCCTTTACGCGGATGTTATGCCGCGGGCTTTCCAAATTTCTTGCCATGTGCTCCATTACGAACTCCAGGCGACCCATTCTATAAGCCTGACTTGCTGGCTGATCGATAAGCATGAGATATATAGCCAATATAAATTGAACCGATTTTGCAGATGACATTTTCTCAGCTGGCAGATCGCAAGTTGTCTGGGTCCAAAAAAGTCTTGATGTGAAATGTTAGTTCACGGACCATTTGCAACGCTTGCGTCAACTTCAAACTCAATTTGAGGCGCAGAAATGTGTCAAATGTGTTGAATGTGAATGAGCGTGGAGGGTATGTGTGTGTGTCTGTGTGTGTGTGTGTGTGGCAAAGTCAAGACGAGAGGCCCTAACCCCCGTGGTGACCGGGTTATGGACCGTTTAAGTCGCAAACGTTGTGCATTTATTGTGATTTTTATGCAGCTCGCCAGCGTTTTAATAGATTTTTGCATAAAACGCTTCCCAGGGTTACCGTTACTCACTTGCCTAATGTAAACAAGTTATAAAACGCTCGTAAATCGCGACAAAAAAATATACGAAACTATAACGTCATAAAAATGCTATAAAATATGCTACCGTCTGAAGAAAGGGCAACCTTTTTTTATGCCATTTGCGAATTTGCGAAATGCACAAATCGTAAAACAACAACAAAAACAACGGGGTGTGCGGCCAGAACTTGTCGACCCCAAAGGGCGTAGAGCTGGCGAAGGTGTAAGTGTTTGCATCTGTATCTTAGCCTAACATGGCCCCTGCCCTGACCCCAGCCCCTGTGCCCTGTGCCCTGCTCATTATCACAAAATCAAAATGCGTTTGTCAATGAATTAGAATAGCTCTGATGTTGATGTTGGGTCGTAAAACGTTTTGGCATTGATATTGTTTGGGTTTATATTTGTTTTTTACCAAGATATTGTCAGGATTGCTTAACCAACTGTGCTTATCTTGAAGAAACTAGCTTTAGATAGAATGGAAATTGCAGTAAATAATTTAGTCCTTACCTTAACAGTATTACAATATTACGAACTACCTTTATGTGGTTCGGGCGGAATGCATTTAAATCAAAAACGAAAACAATTTTGTTTTAATATATATCTTATCCGATTTATTTTATAAATTAAGGTATTAATGCTCTTATTTTTTAATTAGATCATTAGTATTATTATTATATTTCAGTTTTTCATTTATTGAATTATTATAATATTTAATAGTCGCTGTTAAAATGCGTATTATGTGCAAACGTATTGTCGGTTCAGCAATGCCATATGCTACTACTTTTCGTTGTTGTCTACTACTTTTTTCACATGTACTTCGGCAACACTCGTGAAAATCATCCCCAAAACTAGACCAGTATTTTTAAACTGTAGGACGGTACTGTGCTGTGCCTTCAAGTTGCACATTTGGCACGTGGTTGAACAAGGCAGCGTGGCCGAGCGGTCTAAGGCGCTGGTTTTAGGCACCAGTCCGAAAGGGCGTGGGTTCGAATCCCACCGCTGTCAATGTGTTTTTTTTATTTAATTTTTATACTTTTAACATTCACATAAACATTTATTTCAATCATATATATGTATATTATATGTTAATTGGAATAAACTTTATATGAACACTCGTGTGTTTGTACTTATAATAAATCACGCTTTGTTCACAACCAACTTACAAAATATTTTCGTTGAAATATATTTTAAATAATTTTAAATTGCTAGATTCTGTTTAAAATGCAAATCTATATAAAAAAATATGTGTATTCAACATAATAAATTAAAACTAGGCTAGTTTTAGGAATTAATTAAATGTAGATAAGTGTACGTAAGGGTTAATACAATGCAGCGATAATAACATAAGCAATTATAAACAGATTTGGGTTTGATACTACTTAGAACATTCTATTAGCAAAAAAAAAGGTCGTGTTAGAGTTGTGTGTCTGAAATCGGGCAGGCGTCATATGGCAGCGTGGCCGAGCGGTCTAAGGCGCTGGTTTTAGGCACCAGTCCGAAAGGGCGTGGGTTCGAATCCCACCGCTGTCAAGTTGAGATGCTTTCTATTTTTTTTTTCCTGGTGGTGGCAAGCACTACGAATATTGCGCGCTTAATTAGGTCTTCCCCGGTACATTTTCCGGCACAGCCGTTTATCTGGCGTTGACATTTCCCGCGTGCGCTTACTTAACTCTATTTTAACCCTTTCTGCGGTAACATGTTGATCTTGTTAGTAACCCGCCGTGGTCGGTCCAATTGGAAAATGAAATAAAAGGGAAAACGACAGGAAATTAAAGGCTTTTGCGGCTCCATTCAGCTGTCCTCGCTGCGGGGCGAATAAATGAGTCAAATGTTAAGGAATACAACTTACCTTATGTTTTATTGCTTTGTTTCTGAGCTAATTGGCAGCGCGGACGGCGCTGATTTTCTTTAGACCCATATCTTACAGTTTGAGCTGTAAGCCTTTAAAACTTATTTGGGTTTGCTTGAGTAAGAACATTTAAATCCAATTTTAAGAAGAAAAAAAAAAAACGTTTCCCCCTCTTTAATCGCAGAGTTCTCAGGAATTACGGACAAAGTGACACTTGCATTTGCTAAGATAGTTCTACGTAATTGATGATGTTTTCCAAGGAATTTCGAATTCGATTTAACAGCAATGAGGCCTAAAATTTGTATTAACATCATTACACCTTTATTATTCCATATATCTTTATTAGTCACTAACATTTTCTACTCACCTCCAAGTTCAATTTTGTTTATACATAGTCGTCGAGAGACCTCGTATATGCGTCAAACTTTGATATAGTTGCATTTCAGACTAAAATATGATTAAGAAATCTTAGAACGTCAACCCGGATTGGAATATTTAGCTAGGGTGTTTATTATAGATTTTAGATTGCTGGTGACTGTAACATTTTTAATTTAAGCAACGTATTAAAGAAATGTGAAAAGGTAATCTAATATATATGTAATCTTATATATATATGTATATATAAATATACGTTTCTGATAGCTAAGGTCTTTTTGGCAATGGAAACGTCATTCTTAATTTTAACAAAGAAATAAACCTCAACACGAATTACACGCGTACACCTAATTCTTAAAATACAAAAATTAAATTTTGTCGTACAATATTATGTTTGGATTTAACACAATTTAAAATATTACAATTTTATAATTAATGAGTTTTTTCAACTATTTTCAAATTTAGTTGAATTGCCTTTTTGTGGATATAAGCAAATTAACTGTTTACTTTTTATCTTTTTGCACTTAATCTCTATATATAAAATTACTTTTCCTGACTGACTGACTACTGCCTGATTGAATGATTGACTGACTGACTTATTCACTGATTGGTTGGTGATCAACTGTAGTTACCTTATGTGATGAAGGTGCACGTTTTGTCTGCGTTTTGGAAAATTCCACCCGCATGTTTGGAAAAATCGCAAAAACAATTGTATGCAACTTTTTTGTTTACCCAAAATGGTAATGTTTACCCATTATTGGGTTAATTATATTCAGGATTCCAGCTACTGTGTATATTTGTGATTTATGTTATGGGAATAATATATGTGGACGATATGTACTTATTTGCATATTAAGATGCGCTTAAGCGTGCTTGACTTTTGATATTCGTATTTCCCTGCAATTGCCTTTGGACATTGACTCAGCAAATAGGTTGTAATGGAATTTTTTCCGTGCCATGTCAAATACGCATTAGGAACTTGTTACAAGCTCGAGATGTGTTAGGATAGTCCCCCTGTTGGCAAACCCAAGTAGCCGTGTGAATCCCATAGCAAAGAGTCAAATCGAAGCCCTGATTACAGATAACTTTTAACATTTGAACCTTTCGTAGCTTAAATTGTATTCACATGACAAATGGGCAAATTTGTTAAAAAATGATTTGTTTCAGAGCTACTTAAATTGCCAACCAGATGAGTAAACGAAACGGAGCAATTTAGAATCAATTGACCGGAACTTTGGCAGTCATAATTGTGACGTCGCATGCGGATTTCATTGACACGAGCTGCGCTCTGACATCGGGTTCATTGTACTCGCTGTCAAATTGAAAGATATTTTTTCCCGAGCATAGACGCATTTTGGTATTTTCGGTGTCACCCAGTGACATGCATTTGTATGCGTATTATGTGTGACATATATGTATATGTACGGATTTTTCTCCAGCAAATTTTGTTGATATTTCCAGGGCCAATTAACTAATAGTAAAGCGTTTTGACCACAAGTTAAGCCCCCTTTGGCCAACAAACGCGGCTCATTGACGTTTGATTCCAGCTGCTGATTAAGCAGTAAACGATGCTCCGCTTGTTTTCGAGTTCTTAACACCGGTTCTCAGACTCAGCCTCAGACTCAGACACGTACTCGGCTTGTTCTTGTTTTAACTCTCAGCTAACCCGATCGCTTCGAACTGCGGCTATAAAAGCCCTGCCTTGCCAGCCAACAGCTCACAGTTTCATTTCGCCCGCTAAAAGCGTCTAGTCTGGTGGCTAATATATAAAATAAAGATATATATCATAGTCAAATGTTAATTATTTTATTTAGTGAAATGAAATATATTTTCTTATTGCTGTGCATTTTGGCTGTGGAATATACAAACGCGCGTTGTAAGTGGCAAATTCAAACCACAAATTCCCTGGCATTAATTAGAAAGTGTTTTGTTAAAGAAAAAACCCCAAGAACTGGGCGCATCTTCAACACGCACTATTGGGGAAAATGCCGAATTAAATATAAATTAAAAATTAATAAACAAAAAAAACCAGCGCGTGCCAAGTTCAATGCAACTTTAACTAATTAAACGTTCCGCGTAGCTGTGAATATGCGCTATAAGGATTAATCATAACGATCAAGAAGATACAAAAAATATATGAAAAGAATAACTCGTCAAATATTCAATACTCTTGAACACCAATGGCTGACGTTTTTTCACAATATACAATTTCACTGATCCAAAAAATTAAGCTTGAAATTCATTAGTTTGGTAAAAATATCTTTCAAAAAAAATGCATATGTCAGAAACATTGTGAAAGAAGCTCAAAAGTTTCTTAACAAGAACTTCAGTTTTGGGATACGAGTACGATGTTGATAAGTTTTGGTTGAAGATTAATATGTATATAGATGTATATATTTTATATATATATTATATATTCGTTGACAATAAGATTTGGCTCATATGTAAGAAGCATGGTAAAACAGAAAAATGTCATGATATCTGTCAAAATAAAGATTTGCAAGATGCATTGAATAAATATTGACCTATTGTTCCTATGGCAGCTTAATGATACAGTGATCCGAATACGGCAATTCTTATGGCTTATGAGATCATTTCCATCTGTGCGTCACACAATTCATGAGCAAATTACAATACCTACTGCATAGGGTATGCACAAATTGTGGGCCACATGCTGGAATGTCGCTCACATGGTGGCCTGACCGCGTGTATTCTGGCCGGTACTTCCCCCAAAAACCAGATTTCTGATTGTCGCTCTTTTCTCTTTGCAGATGCGCGTTGCATTAATCCCAATCAGCGAGCCGGCCTGTGTGTGCAGATAAATGAGTGCCAGACATTGTATTCGGTGCTGCAGCAGGCGAACCTGTCGCCGACAGAGAAGCAGTTCATCAAGGCCTCCAGTTGTGGTGTGGGCCAAGACAATCGTCCGTTTGTCTGCTGCACCCGGGACACGGGCTATACGCGCAGTCGTCGTGTGACGTCCAACTTTGGTGATTATGCGGACTTCAGTGATCTCAGTGAGGGCTACGATTTTGACTGGAATCGTTCACCCAATACGCCGAGCACTGTGCTCTTTCCCAGCGCAGATCGCCGACCCTGGAGCTTTGGTATTGATGAGCAGACAGCAGACAGCAGCCGGCTGCAGGGTCAGGGCCAGCCCCAACAGGTGGACGGTGCCAGCCTGCTGCCCCAGCCGCCAACCTGCGGCGGCGTGACCATAGACAATAAAATATATGGCGGCGAGGATGCTGACCTAAACGAATTCCCCTGGATGGTGCTGCTCGAGTACAGACGTCTGGCCGGCACCGGACTCTCGACCAGCTGTGCGGGCACGCTAATCAACCAGCGCTATGTTCTAACAGCTGCCCATTGCCTGGTCGGGCGCATAGTGCGCGAAATTGGACCACTGTGAGTAGAGCAGCCCATAGAACTGGTTCACTAATTCCTAGTAGTAGTATAACGAAAGTCCGGACGCTTAATCACGCGAACAATTTCACGCATTTCTGCGAATTGAGCAACGCTTTCCAGCAACTAATTACGCGCGAGGAGTCCCCGCAGCTCAGCTAAACACCTTGTATATGTATTTTTTTTTTACGTTGCGAGTTGGTCTCTTGTTGTTTTTGCTTGACTTTGCGTTTGTTATTGTTATTTTTTTTCTAACTTTAAGAATATTAATTAAGTTGGCCAAACCAGATTCAAAGCGTTTAGCTGCTGCTTGTTAATGTGATTCATTCAATGTTGCGCCGGGTGGGCTGCTGCCCGGTTGGGTTGGGGGGTCTGGGGCATGGGACGGGTTCAAAGTGGATAACAATTCGTTGCGCTCTTAATTTACTTGACCGGTTGCTTTTTTGGGTGTTTAGCGGCTGGCACGTTCGCACTTTTAAAATTCAATTAGCTATATCTGATTTCCTGCTAAGCAAGCGCCCCATGCTTTAACTCAATTTTCATATTGTTTTATAATTATATTTTTTTTAGTGCCTCCGCGCGTTTGGGCGAGCACGATACGCGCAGTGCAGTGGACTGTCCCGCCGGCGGCGTGCGACCCTGTGCGCCGGCAGCGCAGCGCTTGGGCATTGAGGAGATGCGCGTACACGAGCTCTACAAGGAGAAGACGCCAAATCAGGCACATGACATAGGCCTGGTTCGTCTGGAGCGCAATGTGCGCTACTCGAACAGCATTCAGCCCGTCTGTCTGCCCTCGGTGGTGGCGCCGGAAGCAAAACGTGCCGGACAACAGTACACGGTGGTCGGCTTTGGCCGTACACTGCAGACCGCACGCAGTCCCGTCAAACAGAAGCTATCGGTGGGCTTCGTGGAGCCGGCGCAGTGCAAGCGCAAGTTTGCCGAGCGCAAGATCAACATAATGCCGACTCAGATGTGTGCGGGCGGCAAATATGCGCAGGATAGCTGCGACGGTGACTCCGGCGGACCGCTAATGCGTTTCCGCGACAATGCCTGGGTGCTGGAGGGCATTGTGTCCTTTGGCTACAAGTGCGGCCTCAAGGACTGGCCGGGTGTTTACACAAGCGTCGCTGCCTACGATATTTGGATAAAGCAGAATGTGAGAGCCTAAGCGCAGCTCTTTAGCCTAGCTTTAAACTGAAGCTCGAATTGTGATCTTGCCTATATACTCGTTTATATGAATATCAATAACATATTAATTTAACAACTAGACATAAGTGTTAGCCAATAAATATATAAATATTATATGTATTTTAGAGACAATGCACACAAAGTGAATGAACTGCCTTTTTGAAAAACCTTTGGATTTTCCAAAACAATCGCCAGCCATTGACATTGCCACCGCGCTTTAATTGGCCACCGCATAAACATAAACCACAAGAAAACTTCCGGTAACAACTGGCCACGACAACAGTCCCGCCTGGTCTATAGGTCTGTTGTTATTGGACTTTGGCCAAAGCTTTGCGGTTGCGTCTCATTTCCATGCTAAATATTATCAATGAGTATGCTTAAATCAAGACAGCTGTCCCTTTATTTCATCACATACATATTCCAATTCTTTCCATTGTTGTAATGCGAATAATCTTATCCTATCTGCAGTCTGTAATTCAAGCAAGATAACTCCTGTTGACTTAGATTTCACAGCTTGACAGTTTACTCCAGGCGAGAATGCCGTATTCCAATCTCAGGCTAGTTATTATTGGAGCGATTTCTCCAAAGGGACTCTAGGAGTAGTCTAGGGCAATTAATCGGTTATTCTACAAAAAATTTAATTAAAATAAAAAAAATTATAAAATTAATAGCTTTTTAAGTTTTTATTACAAATGTTCATATACGGCATAAAAGTTAATTATAATCGAAAATAATGACTTATTATTTCTCATTATTATTAATTTTAATAATAGTAATAATAATTAACGATAAATAAAATACCTTAGTTACTCAAAAAAAAAAAAAACGAATTGTTTTTAAAAGAACTTTAATTATAATTATTTTAAAATTAAAATTAATAATAATAATTATAATGATAAAATAAATATAATAATAATTATTATTATTATCATCATAATAATAATCATTTTTATAATAATAATATTTATATTATAATGGTAATCATAATCAAGAAAAGAACTTCTGATATGCAAACTAAGTCATTTTTCATACGATTTTGCATTTCTTATAAATTCATCAAACAACCTCTTGATGCTCAAAACTGAATTCATAATGAAATATTATTTTTATTATTTTGTATTAAATTGATAAAACAAAGAATAATTTTGCGAATGTGAACAGTGTATAAAATTTGAATGAGACGACAATCAATAAAGAAAACCTTGACACTTAATCAGATAGAGTTCTCACACGCGCCGTATCTCATAGGAAGCAGGGACACTTTAATTATCAGCTTAAGCCAAACATAGATGTTGGATTTTCCGATCCAATCTTTGCACTCGTAATCTACGATACAAGCTTAAATTGAATGAATTGCTTTAAGTAAAGCATCATAACATCCGTACCCTAAGGTTTGAGCTCGGATAACCCTTATGAGTCATTGTCTGTGAGACCGAGGTGTGTGAGATTTTGTGAGTTGTAAATAATATTTCAAATTTTATTGATTCTGTATTTCAAAAATTATATTATTTTGTTATTTTTTTTATATGTGTTTTCTTTTCAATATTTAAAATGTAGTTGATTCTACATTTTAATAAATTATTGCTTGTAAGCTAAATAAAATCGTATTGCTGCTAAATTTTACAAATTATATTGCTCACAAACTTAATTCATTTTTTTGCTTTTATATTTGAATTATTTATTTGAATTTTATTTCTTTTAACTTAATTGCTTATTAATTTTTTAACTTTAGTTGCTTCAAAATGTCGTAGATATTGTAGCTATTACGATTCATACACTCTTATGCATTTAATTTGGAATTTTAAGAACTTATGAATTTTGCTTCTACTAAATTTAAAAAATTTTCTTGCTTTCTATTTTTCTCGAATAGGACTTACATGGGCTAGACGGATGGATATTTATTGGTTCTTTTAAGTACATTTTAACATAACTTGAATGGGTTTGCCTGCCAGATCATGACTTAAAGCAATTGGACTATCTGATCTAGAGCTCAAGACTGTGAAAAGCTTTTGATATAATTTAAGAGACAGCTCCTCCTAAAAGTAGGCAATGCAAAGACACAGTTCGAGCCACGAATGAAAGTGAAACCAGAAAAAAAACACGTATTGGCTGCACAGCTGAGAGCTGATTGCATAACCGGACCCGGGTACCAGTTAGCGAGCGGCTAGCAACAACAACAACGACAACAACAACAACGGCTGACCGTTGCTCCCGTTTCGTTGACGGCGATTGCAGTTTTGGGCTCGTTTTGGTGTCACAAGCTGCGGGGGCGGTGACGGCGGTCTTAAACAGTCGCTGCTGTCTATTTATTTATATTTTATTTGATTTTATATTTTGGCACTCCAAGCTTCGGCTCTTCCGAGTCGTAGCTGAGGTTTCGGTTTCGGTTGCGGCTGTGGCTGCGACTGCGGCTAAAGCCGCTGCGCGCAGCATTCAAATTCGATTTTAATACACGGCCGAGCGTTCAGGCGAGCGGATTCACTTTTGTGTGCGTTTTCATTCATCCGCTGGACAAACGAAAAACGACATACGCGACATTCGTGACATTCGCGACATTTGCTTTTTGCCAGTGCACGCGTTGGCTATTGCGTATACGCCGTGTTGCCCCCGTTGGCCCCGCTATTTGTTGTCACACATTGTTTGCAGCTTGAGGCCCGTTCGCAAACGATTGGAAATCGCATTGTTTGACTTGAATTCAGCCGATCGCTGATGTACCCGTACCCAAAGAACGGCGCATTGTGGGCGGCCAGCGCCCTAGCCCTACTCGTCGGCGCTGCCAATGCTCAGTCAGAGCCGGCGCGCCAAGCCTGCGATATACCTAACGAGACAAAGCGTGGCGTCTGCGTGCCGGTGAGCCAGTGCGCCGCCTATTTGCAGGTGCGCAATGTGACCAACCTGAGTTCGGAGCGCGTCAACTTTCTGAAAAAGGTGCAGTGCGAGGTGGAGATAACATCAACGGCAACTGCAAATGCAACGACAACAGAAAATGCTGCTGCAGCTCAGGCGGCAGATGACGATTCGAATGAGTCCGCGTACAAGCCGCTTGTCTGCTGTCCGGCAAATGGCCAGGATTATCTCTATCCAGTCATACAGTTTTCCAAGTTCGAGTATCGTCGTTTTTTGGATGTCACCGCGCGATTCAAGCGGAAGAAGCTTAAGCGACGCATCCAGACGGTCGAGCCCAGCACGGGCTTCAATCTGTTGAACGAGTGCGGCAAACAGGTCACAAATCGCATCTATGGCGGCGAAATAGCTGAACTGGACGAATATCCTTGGCTGGCATTGCTAGTTTATCATTCGAGTAAGTAATAAGCTCTATATGCATTAATGTGGCATCTTAAGTAAAACCTCACACCAAACACTGAAGACATTATCTTCTATCTTGTCTTACAACTTCAAAGCAAATCTCGGAGTCATTGTTCTTTGAACCTTTAAGTTTTCTTATGTATCTATTTAAAATAGCAATTCTTATACTATGTACATAGTATACTTAAAAGTAAATATGCTGTCTTGAAGTGACATTATTAATACTTTAAGATAAATGTAGGATAGGATATTTTATTTTAATCTAAGAATCTGAAACCAGTTTAGAAATGATAATTTGCCAAGCTCCAATAATTTCTTACTTGTTAAATTTTTGAATATTTAAAAATAATATATTTATTTTGTTAATATTTTCAAGACTTTAGCAAGTTTTAAATATTTGGCCAACTCTTGTGTAATATAAGTATATATCTGTAAACACTTTATTTTCCTAGTTTTTATGAATATGTATAATTATTTTGGAGTTTATAAATATAACGAAGTTCAACCGAGGCCATGTAATTGTAGATATTTTAAGATTATTTGGAAAATTTAAAAATATTAATTAAGTAATTTCTTTTACCCACAGATGATTACGGCTGCAGCGGCGCTCTGATCGACGATCGTCACATTCTGACTGCCGCCCACTGTGTCCAAGGCGAGGGCGTCCGCGAGCGACGCGGCTTGTAAGTCTCTTGAGCCTGTTTAATATTGCTTCTATTGAATTGGTCAATTTCTACTTCTAGAAAACACGTGCGACTGGGGGAGTTTAATGTCAAGACGGAGCCGGACTGCATTGAGGAGCCTAACTATTTAAGCTGCGCGGACGCGGCACTAGATATTGCGTACGAGCACATCCACGTGCATCCGGAATACAAGGAGTACTCCAGTCACAAGTACAATGACATAGCCATAATCCGTTTGAAGCATCCCGTTAGTTTCACGCACTTCATCATGCCCATATGCCTGCCCAATCAAAGCGCCCAGACGCCGCTCATTGAGGGCCAAATGTTCTCCGTTTCCGGCTGGGGACGCACCGATCTCTGTAAGTGTGGCCTAGCATCAAATGGTATTTGATTTACCTGATTTACTGTTTTTTATGTTTTCATTCAGTCAACAAGTACTTTATCAACACGCACAGCCCCATCAAACTGAAGCTGCGCATACCCTATGTGTCCAGCGAGAACTGCAGCAAGATGCTGGATCTGTACGGTGTGCGTCTTGGCCCCAAGCAGCTATGCGCCGGCGGCGAGAAGGCCAAGGATACGTGTGCCGGCGACAGCGGTGGTCCGCTCATGTTCTTCGATCGCCAGCATTCCCGCTGGGTGGCCTACGGAATTGTTAGTTACGGATTTACGCAGTGCGGTGCCGGGCCTGGAGTTTATACGTCTGTCTTGAGCTATATTAGCTGGATCGAGAGCATTATTAAGCCGTAGGAAGGGAGATAGAGAGAAAGAAAGATATGTGGAGCGTTGACGTCATTTTTGGTTTTGGAGACATTTCAGATAACCAATAACAGTTGGCGCCTAGTTGAAGGGGCTGGGCGCCGGGGCGTGCAATCCACGGAAATGTCTCTAAATATTTGTACATATTTTGCTAATTATCTAACAGTAAATTACTGTGTGTGTGCGTGTATGTGTGAGTGTGTAGGTGTATGCCTGTCTGAAATAACAAAAGTCTGAAAAACATGTTTCTATTTAAATAAGCTATTAAAATATTTACACACACTAGCGCGTTTTCAATTAATCAAATGCCAGAAAAGTTTCAAGACCTTAACTGGCCTTGGCTCAGCTCCAGCTGCAACTCGAGCTTGATTTGTGGCTGCCTCAAAGATGACTCATTGCGCGAAGCTTCGCTGCAAAAACATTATATATTTAAAATAAACAAATTACAATATAGAAGAGTTTATTTTCTTACCCGTTGGGTACTCGCACTTAGCAGCGCGTGCCCTTGAGCCAGCGGGGCGTGTCTATTGGGAAGAGGCGAAGCGTTAAGAAAATGGCCAACAGACAGCTGCACAGACAGCTAGATGGGCAGCTGAACAGCCAGCCAGACAGTCATACAGACAGCCAGTCAGCTGTTTCACTTTTTACATCCCTGCCGGAGCTGGTTTAACTTGATATTGCAGTTTTCCTATACCCTACCAGAGTATGCTATCATTTTTTAGCGAAATATGTTACACATAGAATCAGGCGTTTCCTAGTCCATAACGGACAC